ACGCATTCTGTGCCCTGATCCGTCTGTATTACTTGTAGAAATGCGATCAAATGCTGCGCGCATTTTTTTCTTTTTTGATATTGTGCCACATTGGCATCTAGTTGTTGTCGTATTGACTCCTCTAGATTCTGTAGTCGTGTTTCTTATGGTTGTACCTGGTGCACTGACCGTTGTGTCATAATTGGTGAGCTGGTTTTGTCGTCGCCCGTAGTACACATTGAACCTTGGTGGTTTGTGTCTGCGTGAGGAACGTAGGTTGTGGCCCATTTGGACAAATGGGAGGCGTGAGCACCAGTTGCCTGGATTTTGTTCAACAAATTTCCGTAGTAAAAGGATGAGATCCCTGTGCGAGCGCTCATTCGCTCCCATTACTTTGGGTTGATACGGTCTGGGCACCAAGTGTTGTGACGGTGCCTGCTCAATGATTTTTGAGAGTATATCATTCACATATTCTGTGCCCTTGTCCGTCTGTATAACTTGTGGAAATACATGCTCACACATGATTGGAACTAGTGTTCGTGCAACAGTGGCTGCCGATTTGTCCATCATCGGACTAGGTATAGCGTATGATGAATATACATCTAGCCATACCAGAACGTACCTGTTGCCCCTATTCGAGTCTATCAAGGGAGCTATGGTATCCTATGAGAGACTACAGTAGTAGACGTATTCCTATATACGCTAATAACGTTTACGTCGTCAGCCCGAGAGTAATTTGAGACTTGTTCTCAAATTAATATAAGTATAGGTGGGTCAGCCCGAGAGAACGGAAGAGTAATTTGAGACTTCGTCTCAGATTATTATATTTATAGGATACGGGCCACCGGCTAGCGGAGAGCCGAGGTCCGAGACTGAGTGTAGTAACAGAGAATATGAAATATTTATTTCTCGAAAATATATCCGAGTACTAAAGTGTTCTGCATAAGGTTTCTCATACTGATCATATGAGTTTTTACCCTGGCCAACCCAAGTGGTTGAACACTAGTGCAAACACCGTCAGTATATAACTGAGGGTGAGATCATAAATAAATTCATTCGAATGCACCATACTTTAGATACACTAGCACTTTACTATTAGTCCCCCACATCGCACGCTAACACCTGTCGCCCGGGAATGCGGCGGTTATTGATTGTAAATGGTGGAATCCCTTTCTGAGAATTTGTTCTTGAGACATGGTACACAGCCCTCAATATTCCCTTTTTTCTAGACCATGTGTGGCCATCTAGTATGAGCTTGTTCACTGTTTCTTCGACAGTGTAGTGACCCATTGTGTGGTATTGAGCTATGAGTGTGGCTCTGTCTTCACACGTGACTGGGTCTAACTCTGCGGGCTCGTCCGCGATGTGTATGGGTACAAAGTTCACTGCAGGGTGCGTTAGTTTTTGGTCAAAGTATGGGGACTTTGTGCCTATCTTGGCTACTAATGTGACCCCCCATGGTGTTTTGCCACAGGCTGTTGTGCCGTTCTTTAGGAACGTGTTGTTTGTGTTTTCGTTTATTTCATCTGCCCACTTTTGTAGAAGCGCGTTTTGTTCTTTGGTGTAGAACTTTGCAGTTTGAGCATTGTGTGCGGCTGCAAATAAATCGATGGTGATTTACCAAACAGGCCTTCTGCATCTTGAAAGAATCGTGGATGTAGTTTCCAGTCTATGGCAGATACTAAGATGGGCATGTTTGTTTCTAGGTCAGTGTATTCCTGACCATTGTGTATGTGCTCATTGGCTACTTTCAACACATTCGATGTTTTGATGTTGAATGTGTATTCGTGTAGTCTTGACAATCTGTCAGCAACTTCATTTTCTTTGCCTGGCACGTGTATGATAGTGAAGTGGTGATGAAATGTTTTCGCTGTCCATTTCGCGAGCATGGGATGCAGCGTTTGCTGTTTGTTCATCTGGCATAACGCTTTGTGATCTGTCCACAATGTTATATCGCCGCCTTTGATGTATTTTGAAAATGTTCCAGACTGTATACGCGTGCTAACAACTCTTTAGTATTTGTCCCATATCTTTGTTGTGCAGGGTTGAGACCTTTTGAGAAATAGAGTATAACTCTTCAGACTCCATCTACGATTTGGAACAGACATCCTCCTACGCCATAGTCACTTGCATCGTTCATAATCTGAAACGGTACTCCATCTACTGGGTACGCCAAAGTTGCCGAGCATACAATGACATCATTGAGTTCTTCCCATTTCTTAACGAGCTCTGGTGTCCAAAGATTGGCTATATTTTGATTCATTTTGCCTTTCATGAGATTGCGGAAGTGTTTCGTTATGTGTGCCAACTGAGGTATGTGGTCTCGCATGTAATTTGCTAGACCGACTGCTCGATGTATGTCACGTTTGGTTCTTGGTAAAGGCCAGTCAATCATGCGTTTCTGTTTCTCTAGGTCTGTTTTGAGCCCTTGAGTAGTCACTTTGACGCCTAATATATTGACTGCCTTGACTGCAAACGCACACTTGTTGTGATTTAGCCTGAAGTTGGCAGCATTAAGTCTTTTGATGATTTCGCGTACCGTTTGTCTATGTTCTTCTTCTGTCATACTCGCGATGGCTATGTCATCTACATATACTTGTACCCCTTTAATGTCAATGAGGAGGTTGGCCATCACTCTTTGGAATTGTGCTGTTAGCGAGTGCAGTCCAAATAGAGCTGACTTGAATGAGTATTGTGCCCCTCTCCATGAAATGGTGAAGAAGTGTTGGCCATTTTCATGTACTTTAAAGTGGTGGAAGCCTCCTGTTAAGTCCAGTTTGGAGAAGAATGCGCACCTTATAGGTTGTGGATAACTTCTTTCATCTTTGGTAAACCGATTTTGTCTTGTTTATGTTGATTGTTTAATTCTCTTAAGTCCAAACATGTGCGGACCTTCTTTAATAGACCCATCTGTTCAAATTCTCCTGTGGATAGTAGTGGCAGGTTCACCTGTGTGGATGTTGTTCTTTTGTATATGTGTCCATCTTTGACCCATTTCTGAAAGTTTTCATCTGTTTGTGGTATGTATTTGTGTGGAACAAAGTTCACTTTAACATGACGAATGTTCGTTGCTTTAACCTCTTGACTTGGTATCTCTACCACTGAGCCTGGTAGATTGCAGTGTACATCTGGTGGGATTTGCCCATTTTGTTCTAACAAGTCTGAGAGTGATTCTCTCCTTCCTGTTCATGTTCAGGGTATTCTTCATGTGGTGTAAAAAGTTGTTCCCATTTGGCATCTGTTGGTATTAGTGGGTTGATTATCTCTGCTAAGTATATGCCCAAGTATGGTAGAATGTCCATTCCTAATAGGGTTGGTGATTTCTTGTCTGGAAGGTCAAGTACCTCGAAGCAGTTTGATGTTTCTCTGCCTCCGTAGTTTATATCACATACTTCTGTGGAGCCTGTGCGTTATACTCTTGCATCTGATTGTGCGAGCTGTATGTATCCAGGTTGTGCTTTCACAGATAGGTATAGTTCAGTTACTACACTTCGGTCCATACAAGAGCGTTGTGCCCCTGAGTCTATTAGTGCATTGTATGTGGTGCCTTTGATTTGTATGTCTATGTACAATCTGTGGTCTCGTGGATTTGGAAGTAAAGAAAGGGATATGTAATCAATATCATTCGCATTTATTAACAACGTTTCTTCATCAGTGTGTGCATTCACAATGTCTACCATGTTTATCATGTTAGCCTCCGACCACCCAGCTTTTCATAGATCTTCATTCATCTCTTGCACCCTATTGCCATTTATAATAGTCAACTGATCAACATGAACTGTTTGATTCAGTTACGCTTCTCGAGCTTCTGCCTTTAGGCGGCTATTGTTCGCTTCGTTGGGGCACTTGCTGAACGCATGTGGTTAAGGGATTGTACCACAGCGTGGGCAAGGTCGTGGTCCTCGCGGTGCTGGTGTTTCAGTGACCTGTCCCATGGGACGACCTCTGCCCTGTCCTCCTTGTGGACCTCCACCTCTTGGTGGGCCTCCTCCTCTTGGTAGACCCCTCCCCTCCCCTCTGAGTGGACTCCCTGGAGGTATATTCAGTCTTGGGCGAGTGGCTCGCGGTTCAGGAACAGTTGCATTTCTCGCTCTTTTTTTTTCACGTTTGTGATTAACTTGTAGTATTGTTGCCTGTCTGATCATGTCTTCGGTGAGCTCATGAAATACCTTCTTTGAGATGTCAGATAAGTGACCACTGCTCCCGTCCGGTTTTGTCTGATCAATTTGTCTGTTTCTGCTTGTAAACCGTACATGACTAGTACTTGGTAACATGATGCTTTGAGGAGTTGCCAATTGATAGCTTCTTTCTCTGTGCCCTTATAACGCTTCTCCAACTCAAACATTGTGCGACGCAACCGTGCTGCTCGTACTTCGACAACCATACGAGTGTCCTAGAAGTCGTTGAGTCACTTCTCTAGTAGATAGTCTACTGGAATGCGACGTAGGTTGTCGATGATTAATATGTTGTAGTTCTCCACATCAGTGAAGTCTTGCCAAAGCTGCGCGATACTTCGGTTGCATCTGTCTGTCTAAGCAGCTCTTATACTAGTGAGAGGTATTGTATCAATGGCATGTCTGTGCTCGCAAACAAGTCTTTGGCTACAGATACATACTCAATTGTGTCACGACAATCAGCCATACTGACATACTTGGCTACCGGCCACTTAGGGAACTCACTCGTCTTCAGTAGTTTGTTCAGTTCTGGTTCTGAGGCTTTGTCCCCCTCGTGAGATCTAATTAGAGTTAACTCGCTCATAAAGCCACTGATCGCAATGCACTCATCGTGATCACTTTTGTCACAGTTCTTCATAGCTTTCTTGTATAGCTCTACTAACCACTCATCTATTACTGAAACTATTCGCTTGGGTTGTTGTTCATGAACTGCTTTGCGCAGTTTGTAAATTCTCTGATGTCAATGGGATCGTCCGCTGTCTGCGCATACAACTTGTCTACTAGTATATCTACTACACAGTAGTTGCCTGCATAGATGGTCTTATCCAAGACTATGTTGTACTTACTCGTCGCGGGATCCATTGGAGCTCTTGCTGGTGTGGACTCATCGTCCATGTGCATGCCCCTTTTTCCATTGCGTGGAGTGGTAGTACGAGACGATGTCTGTGAAACTGGCATCGTGTCTGCTTCCACTGGTCGTGTTCTGACAGTGCGACTTGTGCTCCCCCGTGTGTGTGTGCGACTTGAGCTCACTTGTGTGCGTAGGCTCCTTCGTGCTGCGCGTGTTCGTTGGTATGGCACAGACGTCATTGACTGTTCTGCGTGTGGTGCGAGTGGGGTATGGTTAGGGTGTATTTGTTGTGCATCAGTAACCATTATTTTCTTTGTGCACTAGTACTGTTGTTAGATCAACTCTGTTTGATTACCTGTATGTGCGTCCCCGTATGGCATGTGGTGACCGTACTGATTGTAGGGCCTTGTACTTGAGTCGCCTGAACTGTTCGTGTTCGTTTTATCTGGGGTTATTTGGAGGATTTTTTGGTTTGAGGGATTAAACTTGGGTTTATGATGGTTTATCCGTCGTAAACCTGGGTTCTCTTGTTATTTGGTTCCTGGAAGTGTAAACCTGTAATTTGAGTTTATAAGATTCTCTGTTATATTTTTATTTTTATTTGAGTCTCGGTGGTGTTCCGAACTTCTCGTCCTGTATGACTTTGAATTTGTGCGAAAGAGATATGATTCTATCTGCCTCCTATGTTTATATAAACTTTCCAGTATTCATTGTACATATGTAATACCACTTGTATACGTTTATACAGACGTACTATTATATCTCTTGCGGTCTGTGTTGTATGTGGTGTGCATACGTCAGCTTATACCCGCTGCTGTGTGTGATGAACAGACGTATTGGTGTAACCTATGTCTTATGCCTCAATTCTTTTGATGAACAATTGTGATCGGTCCAGGTTATGTCTTGTGGACACCAACTCTTTGTCGAAGCAGTTGTACCTTTGTCTTGTGCGTGATATATTTGTTCTGAAATTATGTATGAACCATTTCTTTTAGTTTGTAACTGTTATTGGTTTGTGTGATTCGGATCTTCAATGTTAATCCCCCCTTGTTGCGTGTTAATTTTACTTTGGATATGCATGTGCACGTGTATGGCGGTTCTGAGTGTGAAAGGTACTGTAATGCAACCTTTGTGCTCTGTGTGCTTTGTCTCTGGTATAAATTTGTGTGTGCAATTGCCTGATTTGAGACCTAAGCTTGTGTTATTTTGATGTCTTGTGCGATTTGACTGTTGGTGCGATTTAAGAATCTATGCGATTTAAAGAGCCTGGTTTACCCAGGGATGTTTAGTGCTCTCTCGCTTTTATTCGTTTTATTATGTGTGCGCATGTGAATTGCATGCGCGTACTATGTATGCTTCTCTGAATTTAGAGAAGACTTCTTAACTTCTACTCGATGTGGTTGCATCAAATACTTGAATTCTATTGATGTGTCTTTATTGTTCTATACTGTATACGTGTACATACATATGTTCTTCTCTTGGTCCCTTCCTATTGTTGAGTTCTGATTCATCTCTGGAGTTGAGTGATCTTCTTCCTTGTTATAGGATGTTTGTCCTTGGTGATTTCACCTCTGAAGTTGAGGGGTTTATTTTATGTGCATGTACTCTGTTGACTTTCTATGAATTTTTGAGACTGTTGTTGTCTTTAACGAGTGAGACTGTTGATGTTCTTAGTGAGTACTTACTTGATTATATTTATGGGTAAGTCTGTCGTGGACTCCTGTCTCTTTGACTAATGTGCCTGTCAATTGCATTAAATCTCAAGGAATTTGATTGTGCTCGTGCACTGCTAATTTATCCTTTGTTTACTCGCACGTGGGTTGTAATTGAGTGTCTGTTTGCACTGCGTACTATTGCTCTCAATGTGTGTAGTGGTTATACCCCAACTATTGATTCGCCCTATGTGATTCCTAGTGATTCGTCAATTCCTGTACCTAAATCAGGTGATTGTTATTCTCTGGTTTGTTAGTTTAACGTGGCTCGTTGTGGAGTATCCAGTCGTGCTTTGTGTTTAGATTAGTTTTGGAATAGTATCATCTATGCTGAACTCTTCGTGCTCTTGTTCCTTCGCGTATACTGGGGATTTCTCGAGATTTCTTACACATGCGATTTGGTGATGAGTTGTGCTTGTGCTACCATTGTTTTCTATGTGTTCGTTGTTAGATTGGCTTTGTGTAAGTGATTGCGCGAAATTGCGCTACGAGATCTGCACCTTGCTTGTTATTGCCTTCTTGTTACTTGCTGTGTTATTCTAGTATATGCTAATGTGTTGTATGTAACGTGTTCTCTCGTATACTTGGATGTATTTTACACTTTGTGCCTATTGCAATTCTCACTAGTGTCCCTTGGGTGTGTCTCTTTGTTTAGTGCACTCTGTATGTTGGATTTACTGGTTTTACAAAATCATGTTTCCCAACATTGATAAATCATTCACTTGTGACACTTTTTTTAACGTGGGGAGACCTATTCTTACCTCAGGTTCACGTTCACTCGTAAATACCTGATCTGTTGGTCTCTGTATGCTTCCGTGAGGTGTCTTTAAGTCCTTCTTCTTGCGTTAGGTCTTTCTTCCTCGTGTTAAGTCCTTCCTTCCAGCAGAGTCTGATTGACAATCCCGGTTATTGAACTCTTCTTTCACTTGTTGGAATTCTTCACGTGGTCCTCACGTATTAGTTCTATTCTTATGATAAATAGGTTCTAATAAAGCTTGTTTTTCTTAAAGACAACTTTTTTATTTGTTTGTTATTGAGGAGATAATATTCTTGTTCCCTCTTAGTTGCCTGACTTACAGTGGTAAGGATATTGTTAAAAATGTAGAGCAATAGACCTCTTCTCAAGTGCGAATCCTACAGCCAGGTAAAAGTCCTAGGCTGAAGGACTCGCATTGAGTCTTTATTTGTGTTTAGTATTTTCTACACTAGACTCAATATTTACTTGAGTGTTTCTCTCGCACGCGGGAGTCCCGGTATCATCTACCGGTAATCCCGCTATATTTCTGATCACTCTATCATCAGAAATATTGGATCCTAGATCCAAAACTCAGTATTTGACAATCCTGAGTTTTGGGTTTAGGATTGGCTTTTCTGATAATCTGGCCCCTGGATGCTACACAAACAGCATCCGGAGCGGATTTCTGATCGAGATAGACACTTGAGGACGCTGATGCATGTACAGGAGGCCACAGAAATCATTCATCTTATTCGTGGACAACTCCGTCAACTTCGTGAATTTTTCATGGCGAACAAATATTGATTTGTCCACTGCTAATGACACGGTCCAGACGGCATCGGGGGTTGAATTGTCTTGAACAGCAAGTAGCGACAACATCGCAACCGCAATGGGCTCCTCAACACCCAGCACAGGAATGGACGACACCAACTGGCTAGTTACCTCATAGCGGGGTGGACGGGATGAAGCAAATCAGCCCAGTGAAACGCAAAATAGGCCGCACGAGACCGATACCTCAAGTGTCACCTTACGATAATGGTCACATAACTCGTAGAGAGAGGATGTTGAAACACGCTCAAAATCGAGCACAATAATTTCCGATTCGTACTCAGGATTCGACAACTGTGGTGAAATCTCTTGGAACCAGCGGATATGAACTTAGCGATAGACACTCTCCAGAATATGTCGTCGTCGGCAAACCGTTTCTTTGATGCATTTCGCAGAGTGATGAAATCTTCACGGCAACAACTTAATCAAGGCCAAGTAGCAGCGAATTTATTTCATGACAAGCTACAACGCCATTGTCGTCCACGCTCACCAGAAGAGATGACAGAAAATCACCAGAAGAATGCAAATGTTTCGATTGATACGCTTGCATATTGCAAATACTTCCCTATTCATCACGATCGTTACTTAGAGGACCCGCAGGAGGTGAAACGCTGTAAACGATCAACGACCACAGAGTCGGGCATCACTGAGTCCACTGCGGCAGAGATAAAGATGCAGGTCTTCCATCTTACCCAACGAAT